CTAAATATCATGAAAGATAGGTCCTGATGCTGACAACAGAATTTGTCTCATTTCTTTTATTTCCAGCTCATTTTGTGTTTTCCAAATTAGATGAACTCTCAAGCAATTAGTAACAGTTGATTCTGATAGGCCCAGATTGCACATCCTTCTACCAGCGCCACATCAGCACAGTGAGAGTGATAACCCGAAGCACCTCCTTGTTCACAAGTTCGGCCCTGAGTGGATGGTAGGAGTTCTGAAATCCAAACAGGATCAAGAAAATCAATCAGGGGAAGGTCACTCGGGGTAATAAACAAGAGCAACCACATGGATCAAAGTCCTCGTACTGTGTGTATGTCCTATGAGAAGCTCTTTATCCACTGAATGCTATAATTCTCAGAACAATTCTAAGACATGGGAATTGTTGTCCCCGTTTTGTATACTTAGTCTACATATACTGTGGGAAAATGGTATGCGAGCGGAACTCTTAACCACTTCATTACACAGCCAGGAGTGGCAGAGGTAGGGCTACAACCCAGGCCTTGAATTTTCTCTTTCATTATTATGACATTTCTGAGAGAAGTGAGAAAACAGTAAATATCGGCTAAGTATACTAAACAAGTAGCGAAACTGGATTCAAATCCCTTTCTGTCTGCTTAGCAAGTGCATGCTGTTTCTAGTTCCCCTTCAGAAGAAACAGTATGAAATTTCTTTTCTGGGATTAAAAGGAAAACACACATTAACGTAGGGTGCTACGACATTCCAGCATACAATAATCAGGATGGAAGTTTCAAAATAGGTTTTGACAGTTTCACCATAGAATACCACGGCATAACCTTGCTTGGGTCCTATATAGGCCAGAACCCAGTTAATGTTTCAGAATAAATTCTCTTTGAGGAGAACAAATGAAACATCTATTTATTTTATTCTGCAGATATGGAGTTCAAAGTAATCACAGTTTAAATTAATCATATATACAATATACATGTTTAAAAAGTGGTTAATATGATAACTGACTACAGATAGCAGCATGTCATTTTTTAGGGGAAAAAAAACAACTTTACATGATATTTATAATTAATTTGAGGTATGTCTTTTCAGGAAAAGGTTATTCAAAAGCACAGTGTTAGAGCACAACCAATCCAAATAGGGCTGGCCTTAAATCTCGTCCTGCACCTGGAGGCCTCCATCGTCAGTTCATGTGTCCCAGCACTTTCAATTATCAAAAGATCCATCCTAGTGCCGTATATTTTAAGCACAGTTGAAGAACAGTGGAGCAAAAAAAAAGCCTTTCAACCATGGGAATTTAAAAGCAAAGGGCCCTGAAGAGGCGATTTCAAAACCCTACTCATTCAGTTCACTCTAAAGCTTAATGACATGCCCTATTTGATACAGTTAGGGGAACTCGTTCATCAAAAACTTTATATGAGACTGGGAATTGCAATACTGGGTTTGTAGGTTTGCTCCCTTAGTCATACTGCAAGGTCCTGAAGGAATTCTAGTTTATCTTTTAAAAGCAAGTAGAATTAGGGATAATGATAAATGGTATACTAATGACTACTACTATGTTTATGCATTTGAGAACTTCCTATAGGCTGTACTTTTTGTATTTTGCATTCTTTGTGTTTTATTTGGTCACATCCTTTGAAATAGATATTAATATTCCATTTTATAGGTGATGAAAATGAGTTCCTCAGAGGTGAAACAACTCGCTGTGTTTGCACAAGTATTTGGCAGAGTCACGAATCAAACCCAGGTCTCTGCCTATAAAGACTGATCTCTTAACCACTTCATTACACAGCCAGGACTGGCAGAAGTGGGGCTGGATCCAGGTCTTGAATTTGCTCTTTTATTTTTATCACATTTTTAAGGACAGCAAAGCAATGTAGATGAAGGACTTGGTTTCTCAGGAGTCCCAAAATACGTGAAACAGGTCAGCCCTCTGGTTCCACCTGAATTGGGGTACTAACAAGGACTCAGGACCCACCCCCATGAGTCCCTCTTCCTCTCCTGTTGCAGAATAGCAGATGAGAGGATCTAGGCAGCCTCAGTTTACCCAATGTAATCAATCTCAGGCTGAATGAGAAGAAAAGGGCCTGGAAAAGTTTAGAAAACGGAGACAAACCAAATGATTTTTCTCCTGTGTGCATGGGTGTGGACACTCCCAGCTCTCTCATCCAGGAGAACTGCCATTTCCTCCAACAGATGACATGATTTACCAGACCGATTAAGATGAAATCAACATCTAAGAACAAGAGTGTGCATTTTCTAAAGATCACTGGATAGTACTAAGGTGTTTTGCTGGTCAGATTTCATCTGCCCTTCTGTGTCCCAGCCTTTTGACCTTTCAAGCCCAACTCTATGGTTCTGTTCCTCTTTCCCAGGCCAGAGTTATCTTTATTGATAAAACATATAATTGTTTACAAAAGCATGGCCAGACAGTATGGATGGAGAGCTTGCCCTCTAGTTGACATAAACTATTTTTCTAAAAAACTACTGAACTTTCTCAAATTCTACATGCTTTACTTCAAAAGCTCCAGTCATTGGAGGATGAAAAGTTGCCATAACCCAGAATTTTTGACAGTATTGTGAAGGGGAGATGGGGTCGTAAATGTGTTTCTAATGATCTAATAGTACTATATTCTTGAATGTCTCCAAGGCACCTAAGACCAGCTTTTCCCAACCTGACCTCATATTCTTCCTACACAAACCTCATGTGAACCCAATTTTTCCTCATGTGAACCCAGTTACAATGATTGACATCCCAATCCACCTGCTCATCTAATGTGGTATCACCAGCCATCTTCATCCTTCCTCTCTTCCCCACTACCCCACACAGTCTGACACGGAGTGATGCTGAATATACCTCAGAAATCTCTCTCAACCATTCTTTCCCTTCAATTCTCACTCCTTTGCTAAATTTAGAACTAGCTAATCTCTTATCATGACTAATAAGATAAACTAACTGCTCTGCCTCCAGTTTCTTCCCCACCTACACTATCTCCCATCCTCCACCCTGTTACCAGATCTTATCTTGTCATGCTTTTGCTTAAATATCTTCAGTGGCTCCTCACTGACTACAGGAAAAAGTCTGAGTTCAGTGTGACATTCACATTTCTTGACAAGATCCTTCTACTTTACAGTATTTCCTCTCCCCAACTCTTTTCATCCTTTCCCAATTCAAACATACACATTCATGGTCAATGTCTTCGGTCACACTGGGTTTCTTACTGTTTCCCTAAATTCTAAGGACTTTTGTATCTTCTTGCCTTTTATATTTTGTTTTTGTTCTTGTTCTTGTTTGGAGACAGAGTTTGGCTCTGTCACCCAGGGTGGAGTGCAGTGACATGATGTCTGCTACATCAACCTCCGCCTCTCAGGTTCAAGCGATTCTTCTGCCTCAGCCTCTCAAGTAGTAGAGATTACAGGCAGCCGCCACCACGCCCTGCTAATTTTTGTATTTTTAGTAGAGATGGGGTTTCACCATGTTGGCCAGGCTGGTCTCGAACTCCTGACCTCAGGTGATCTGCCCGCCTCAGTTTCCCAAAGTGTTGGGATTACAGGTGTGAGCCACCGAGAGTGTCTCATTAAAGTGGAATTTCCTCCTTGGAGTACTTGAGCATCCATTAATCCTTCAAAGGACAATCATGTCTCATTCCAATCTTGCTCCACCTACGCCCCAAGACAATTCATCACATCATCATAACACCTATCTGTAATGTATTATGGTTGTGTGTGTGTGTGTGTGTGTGTGCGCGTGTGTGTCTCCCACTTCTCCTATTTCCAGAATTTGAGCTCCAGATTCCAAACTTGTATTTGTCTTGGTATTTTCATTTCCTTGCTCAGTGCATACTCAGTAAATGGTCAATAAGTATTGCTGAATGAATGCACAAACTAATGAACCACATTTGAACAAGGCTTATTGTGAGTAGATCCCAGACAATGCTATGAAGATATTAGAGTATTATATTAATTATATAATAATTTAAACCAAGACACAGGGAACAAAAAGCAGAGACTAAGGATAGAAAAGATACTTAAACTCTCTAGGATGTTAAACAGATTTCATTTGTAATAGATTGGTTTGGTAACGTGGGGATGAGTCCTAGAGAAAGCTAAATGAGAAGGTAAAAGAGTTTTCTCCTGATTTACTCTGACAGAAATACGTCTTTGAAAAAATCAGTTTAAAAATTCAAACAGTAATTGCTTTCTGTCTTTAATATTTCTATGCAACTCAGTCCCAGTTTCATGTTACCCATTGTTAAACTGATAGAGTTCGGGTTTGCTAAAGAGTGTTTTGCAAACACATCGGGATTAACATTAATCAAACCACTGTGTAAAAATACCAACTTTGAGAGCCCAGGATCCAGCTCCCTTTGACAGGGCTCTACCTGCCGCTGTCTGTTGCTAGATGCTTGGAGTCAGCGTTAAGCGCATGCGCCTTTACAACCATTCAATTGCCATGTCGAATCCGAATCAGTGATTCCTGTGGAAACCTCTGGGCGAAACCAGCGTGTCACAGTCCCTCCTCTGTCTCAAGAATTTTTCCCACAAGACCCAACTAATTTAATTTGTTTCCTTTCCCCAAACAACAAAACGAAACAAAACTGTAAAACAACCATTTCTTCAGTCCCAAATCAGAACTTTTGGCAAGGGAGGAAAGAGATCATGAATAATACGTGGCTATAGATCTAGAATCATTTTACAAATATAAATGTGGGCTCATCTTTTGCCTTTGTTGCTACGTGAATGATCTCAGTCACTGAGATTAAGAGACTGAGCAAATACAGTAGACATTTCATGCCAAATTTTCTGACTGTAGACTTTAGATGCTAGATATATGATCACTTGCAAATGATTTGAGAATAAGAAAATCTTTCTTTTAATACCTTGGTCTTTTTACAGTACTGAGTGGTACCAGCTTGCTCTGGTTGGTCTTCATTCCTGGGTAGTTCCATTGTCCTTAATATTTATTTGCCTTTGCTGTAGAATGTGCATCCCAATGATTTCAATCTTTCCAGTTGGCAGATGACTTGATCTCGGACATTTTCACCGCTATTGGCTCAGTGACCCTCGCCTTGTTACTGATCCTCTTGCTGGCCATTGTTGCTTCTGTTGTCACCTCCAACAAAAGGGCAACTCAGGGAACCTACAGCCCCAGCCGTCAGGAGAAGGAGGGCTCCCGAGTGGAAATGTGGAACTTGATGCCGCCCCCTGCGATGGAGAGACTGATTTAAGAGCATTCTGTCCCTTCAAGATGGGGATCCACACACTGTGAATGTGATGACTGTACTTCAGGGGTCTCTGACATACCTGACGATGTTAATCTGCAACCGGGATTACACTGGAACTACAGGAATGATTCCTTTAACCACCTTAAAGACTTTCACAGTGGTTCCACTCGACACCATTGTTTTATTATGTTATATCACCCAATCGCGAAAAAAGTCTGTGCCAGTAATTTCAGCCTTATAATTAGCAAAAACATCTTCCAGAGAATGAAGTCTTCTGAGCAAAGCTCCAGTGTCTATCACTGAAACTCTTTCCTCTTTTCAACCTGGGGACAACTTTTAGTTTTCATTTTAGGTTTCTGTACTTTCTGTAGTTTCTGTGTGAACATATGGCAGTTTACACAGAAACTGTAGTTTCTGCCATATGTTTACACAGAAACTACAATAAAAAATTGGCTACATTTCTCACTTCTCCTATCATGTGGTCAAAGGTTATTGTTGTATACCAGCGATGGGATACTTCTGTATACTTTTGTCCTTCATTCATGGATTCAGAGAAAGCCATGGGAATGACCTGTGGTTCAAAAAAGTGACCCAGTGGCAACAAATAAAAATCGAAATCTGGTTGTTCTCCTTTCTGAGTACTTTTTGCATTTTTGTGACATTACGTGTGACAAAAGTAACCTCTAGGAACATTTGAAGAACCTGTTTATGAATTAGATCTTTTAACTAAATCATCTCAAGTTGGTTACATTTTAAAATTATTACTCTTTGAAAAGGGTTGGTTAAGTCAAAATGCTTCCTAGATAGAAATCAAAACAGGAGGAAAATTCATATTCTCAAGTTCGAAAAATCAAGTTCTTTTCTTCCAGCTGCTTTTAGGTAAACCAGTGCCAAACAGTGACATTGTCTAAAGGTAAGAACTCCAAAGTTAAATGTGTGCAGTTTAAGGAGAATGTGTATAAGACTATGGGGTGTTTGGAGAAAATGCTGGGGCTTCTATTTTTATATTTTTTTCTACAAAGCATCTGGTTATATTTTTATATGTGCTTTGAAATATATGAAACATGCTACTCTTGGAGAATATAAATAAAATTTAAGAATAGATGCCTATATATTCTGGGTATATGCTCAACATGTCTAATGACATGAATTTTTAAGTCTGGTCTAGAAGAATCCATCCATCTCAACTATTCAAGGATATCATTACAGCAGCTTCCCTTCTCTTCTACGTCATCAGTTTTCCCATTGTCCTGGGGCATCCCTGTCAGCACCAAACATGCTGTCATATTTCCTATCATAAAAAAGTTATATCCTGTGGCCCTCATCTCCCTCCAGTAACCACCCCATTCCTCAACCCCTCTTTTCAGCAAAACATCTACAAAGGAGTTTTCTGTATTTTCGGTTTCCCTTTCCTTTTCTCTCATCCTCTCTTGAACTTAAACTAATTTGGCTTTTCTCATCACCGCTCCATGATCTCCACATGGTCAAACACAATGTCCAGTCCTCAGTTCTCAGCTTTCCTGACCTCTCTGAAGCATTTGAAAGAATTGTCACTCCTCTTGAAATATTTTCCACACAATGGGACACCATTTCATCTTGATTTTCTTCTTAACCTCACTGTCTATCCCCTCTCCATCTCTTCTGATAGTTTCTCCTCATTTCCTTAAACTCTGCTTTATTTTTTTCCATGCTGTTTATCACCCCCTGAGAAGTTGTGTATTTTGTTGTCGTCGTTGTTCTCTATTTTCTCTATCTAGAATTTAGGTTATATGAGGATAAGAATTATTATTATTTTTTTTTTACTCTAGTATCTCTCACCTAGAACAGGCCTAACCCATAGGGAAAACACAATAACTATTTTCTGGATAAATTAACAAATAATGAATGAATGGTGCTCAAATTTGTACCTGCCACCAGAGAAATCCGAAAGTGCCCAAGATTTGTGTGGGCTGTCACTGGATGCACTGGTCATGAAACTATCATGGCTCTGTAGCCTATCTAATGTCTTACTCAATCTCAGGCTTTTTTATCCATATCCAATATTGCTTTAAGTGTAAGTTCAAGAAGAAGCATGTCTCCAGTGTCTACATGTGAAGTATACCATGAGCTATATTTATTTTTGCATTTCATTCGATACAACTTCTTAATAGAAGTTCATATGGAAAAGAAAAGAAAGAGCTCGTGCTTGAAAAAATAAGTAGCTGAGTTAAACACACACACACACACACACACACACACACACATACAAACTAAAAAGATCACAGGATATAAAATGGTTCTATTGGCTTAATTAATCTGAGTATTTGCTGTATTCCAGTATCTAGCTTAGAGCTTTGCATAGGAATGTATGTCCAAATACATGGATAAGTGAGTGCATGCAGGCATGAATAAATGAGTGATTCTTTCCATGTGGACACTCAAGTACACGGACATTTACAGGCTGCCCCAGCAAGTCAGATCTCTTTATCTTTGAAAAAGCTAAATATTCAATATGTAACGTCAAGAATGCTTCCAAATTGGCCCCATGAAGTATTTGTACTGAACTATCTTTAACAATGTAGACCTTGTTTTAGTGAAAAAGTATAGTATCTGCATAATCAATGATGGTGCAGCTTTTTAATGGAGTGCATTTTCAAAATTTGTGTTAGGACTGGTTTCAAAGACCACAACAAAACACCACAGCAATTCCTCTCATGCTTATTTGCAATGTGACATTGCCACCCCTCCCATCAAGAGGAGTCTGTTTGCCTTCCCTTTGAATCAGGGCTGGCCTTGTGATTTGCTGTGGCTAACGTAATGCCATGGAAATGGTGCTCTGCCAGACATAAGAGGCTTGCAGCTTCTGTTTTCGCTCTCCTGGAAGGCGACCCTCAGACTGCCATACTGTGAAGAAGCTTGGAATGAAAATAACATGTCAAAAGAGAGTCCCAGCCAAGCCAGGTGTCCCTGCTGAACCCGGCCTCAGTCACCGTGCCTGCTGGTTGCAATCACTTAGTGACCCACATGAGAACAGCAAAGGAACCACCAGCTCAATCCACAAAATCATGAGAAACAGTACGTTGTTTTAAGCCATTAGGGTTTAGAGTGATTTGTTACATAGTAATACATAAATTAAACACAATTATTCACATCAATGAGGCAACCTAAGGAATACGGCAATATGAGGTACTTCTTTGATTCTGATTTCTTTGCTTTTAGAACTGCTGCTCTGGGAACTGGTGGACTATACAGTATTTGCTTGCATAGCAACAATAACTAGTACATTATGAATAAAATATGACACCTATATGTCAGATTTCTCTCAGGATGGCAAATAAGGGTGAAGAGTCATTTAATCCAAACGCAGGTCCAGGAGGCGCTGAGGGTCATAGTCCTTCTAGCGCAGCTGTTTGCAGGGTTTGGGGCATGGTGTAAAGTGGACACAGCCGGCCTACTTCCTGCCCTAGGGTGAACCCTGGCCCAAGGTAGCCCATGTAAAAGGCACACATCTGGTGTGAGTTTACAAGGAGTGACAGGAAGCCTCCTTCAAGTGGACTCTCATGTGGCTTCTGTAGTCACAGTGAGTGCAAAGACAAGCAGGAAATAACAAATGACTGTGACTTAAATCAGCTGTCAAGACTTCCCCTATTTTATTCCTAAATTACCACCACTTAATAGATCCTCTTATTTGAGACTGAGACAGGCATGGTCCCACAGTCTGGCCCTGTGTAGCCATAATTGTTATTATTACCAATTAGTATTATCTGCAGTAATTGAAGAGTAACAGTAATAGGGAATAGAGGTAGAACTAGAAGGCATCACAGCAATGATAATAATGATTACTATAACAACAATGAGGGATCCTTTACTGAGCCCTCGCTAGAGGCCAAGACTATCTTAAGCTTGCTGCACTAAATGCATTATGTCTCATTTAGACCTCATAACAGCCTTTGAGGGTGAAACTATTATCTTCATTTCACGAGCCTTTGCAGACAAAGAAACATAGTTTTAAATTTCTGAAATGCCCCATTCAGGTGATCTGAGCTTAATCTGAAAACTGGGAATCACACCTGTATTGCACTGGCACATCATGATAACATTATTGGAAAATGCTTAACTGCAAGTAAGCACACAATACATAGCATCCATAGCATCTATGATTACTATTCAGATGAGATGAAGTGTTAGTAGGACAAATGACAAGCAGCAGTCATGTTTAAATGGTTTCCACACTCCCACCTCCTGCTTTATCTGCCAGACAAACCAAATAGGTAACTACTTTCCTCCTATCCTCCTTCCCATCTGTCTTATAATGTGTTTGTAAAATAAGCAGGTTTTGTGCAGAGAAAGATAATTTTTTCATGTCATTCCCATAACTCTGAATTGCCGCATGATGGTGGCCCCATCCAACTAAAGAATTTAATTCATCTGTAAGAATAAAATAAATGGTACACACCAGTTGTATGTCCTCAATGAAATTGTCAGAAATAAATCAAAAGGTCTCAGGTCTCTCAGACCTCCAAACAACTAATGATAGAGGTTTTTTTGTTTTTTTTTTTTTTTGGTTGTACATTGTAGAGATGACTTTATTATTATGGCTTTTTTGGCCCTTTTAGGGTTACCCCTTAAACCACTTTTGATAGAAAATCACCATCATCTTTTTTCATTAACAGCAAGAAATATTGGTCCATGTATCTTGATTTAAATCATCCTTCTGATAATGATTAGCTAGCCAACTTTCAACCTGGTTTTACTCTGCAGGGGCATATCTGGAGTGAATATGACTTTTCAAGTTTCATCCTGCTTTCAGCAAAAGTGGAGTTTTTACTGCTGTGCATAGTGATGACAAAAATGCATGTTTCCCATTTAAACCGATTATCCTATGATTTGGTACCCAGGCTTTGCTTTACATGGTTCCAGAAACCTGGGAATAGCATCTGTCTAATATATTTGGCAGTGCCTGAGCACAGCTGCTTTAATCACCAATCACAGGGTCTCCTAGGATGGGAGGCAACAATCTCCCCTTGAAAACTGCTCCCAAATCCAAATCTTTCAGTTTGAAGTGGAGCATCTTTTAGAGGTGCTCATGGTTTGCAGCTTGAGGCTCCTGGCTCAAAATTGAGCGCATTCATGGCTGAAATAAGGGAAACTGAATGGAAGCAAATATAGGTGTTATGAAAAGTTCCTACAGTATAGGAGCTCCTGGACCCCATTTTGACTCAATCCTTCATGTCAAAGATTTGGCTTCAGCATGAATTAATTTATTCGGCTACATGCTCAACAGAACTTTACCTTAATTAAAGGTTAAAAATCATAATAAAAGTTTTCTTTTATTGGGTTTCCAAAGTCATTAGGTTTTCCAGGTCCAGAATATAGATATCCCATATAAAATATAGACATGAACCCAGGCTCAAATTTTTCTAAAGGTATTTATTATTTTTTAAATGCATTGATAATTGGTTCTCCAATAAACAGAAGGGAAGCCAGACCGTCCTCTTGATTGGTGATCTGAATAGAGCATGGATTTCAGTTCACCACCCCTCCACTGCCAAATACCAATTTCATTCAAATATTGAATCTGCACTAATAGGACTTAAGTGTCTCAAATTGAACAAGAGCAAAAATCATCCATTTAATAAACTGTTTATCTGAAGCACCTAATGGCCCAAATCAGAGATTCCAATTATGCCAGTTTATTTAGTATTTATCATGTTGATAGAATCAGAGGCCTTACCATGGGAGAAAAAAGGATGAAGAAAATGTCATTCACAATTAGAGAGTAAAATGTAATGTCGTCATCCAAACTGACAGAGGGTAACTTAAATCATTTAAAATGAAATACAAATTAATTCTTCCACTTCTCCCTTGAAGAAACTGGCCAAACACACACCCTACTGAAGAAATCAAATTTGTTTATATTTACTAGAGTTCCAGTGAACTTTCAGAGTTCTAGTGACCTTCTGAAAGCATTTCAGTAGATTAACATCTGCCCTTAAGGGTTATTAGTCTAGAGATGAGATTATTATAAAAGACTCAAAGGTGTCAAAAGGGTAACTTATGTTGGAGAAGAGTGAAAATTTTTAAATATTGAAGTCTCTTTAGTGTCTTGTGATGAGCTGACTTCTGTAAGTATCTGTTCTTGTCAGGAATGGCAGCACTGGTAAGTCATCCAGGCTGTGATGGTGGCCTGCAGCAGTTTCCATCAGCCACTCCTATTCTCATCAGGCTGACTTTCAGAGGGCACTGCTGGACAAGGGTGGTGAGGATGTCCTCTTGCGTGGTATCAACTCTCCTAGGCCAGTAACATCTGCACAACTTAGCATTGCTCCCTTCACCCAACCTGGATCTCAGAGCTGCCCCTTCTTAATCACCAGGGAGCAACTGTAGGATAACACAACTCCTGCAACCCTGAGTTTAGTGGGAGACTAGGCCACTGCTACTGTCACACTTGCATCTCCTCAGAGGCCTCCCTCCATTCCAGACCACCCTTTCCAAGTACATTCCCTACTCCCTTGGAGAATTCAAGCAAAGCTCTCCACCTGTTCCTAAGGATGGTCCAATCTCAGGACACACAGACAAGAACCTGGCTAGGCCAGGATTCTACCAGATAGGTAAGCATCACTTAACTCTAATTAGAGGCCTACATAGGGATGTGGACAGTGAAAATCTGTCTAGCAACAAAAGCCCTGCCATCTTAGTGTAAACAGCCTCGGGCAGCTTCAGCTTTTTTCTCTGGATCAGTGTCAGTCGACCCAGTTCACTTTCTCTTATTTCAGCATTATTGGCCTTTGCGACTTGCGAAGAGGAAGTATGATCTAACTTTTTCTTTCTCAGTGCTATTTATTTTTCAGCATTGATTTTTCTGTTTTGAGTTTAAACTTTATGTCTTA